AATACACACAGGGCTACATGAGTCTGCAGCAGTTCCTCTGCAAATATATTATAGTTACTAGCTTAGTATTTTTATGGGACTCCTGACTGTGAGAACAAGTGGCTTTCTGACTCTTTTGCCTGCTCTTTGGACTCTTCTCCTGTAGGGGTGCCATGTCCAACTTCCATATGATCATTTTTGCTTCATCTTATGATATATTATGTGGCTATGTTTTGTTGTAATTTCTTAGAAGCCCGTTTTTCTTTTTGTTTTGCTTTTTGTTTGTTTTCTGTTCACTTATTTTTTTTTATGTTACAACCAAAGTTTCCCCTCTCTCCCCTGTTCTAAGATCTTCCTCCCAGCCTCCACCCCCATCCAACCCTTCACTGTTTCTCTTCAGCTACAGACATCCCATGGATATCAGCAAACCATGGTATATCAAGTTGCAGTGCAACTAGGATTCTCCTTTTTTCTTAAGGCTGGATGAGTTAAATTATAGGAGGAATGGGTCTCAAAAGCAGGCAACATAGTGAGAGACAGCCCCTGCTCCCACTGTTAGGAATCCCACAAGAAGACCAAGCTACACAAATTTAACATTTATGCAGAGGGTCTAGGTCAGTCCCAGCTCCCTGGTTATTGGTTCAGTTTCTGTCAGTCCCTATGAGCCCTGCTTAGTTGGTTCTCTGGGTTTCCTTTTGGTGTCCTTTACATCACTAGGTCCTACAATCCTTCCTTCCCCTCTTCCAAATGATTCCCTGAGCTCTGCTTAATGTTTGGCTGTGGGTCTCTTCTTGTGTTTTTATCAGGTTTCTATCAATACCTAATTGATGAGAGTTTGGCTGGGCATCAATCTGTGAGTGCAGCACAATATCATTAGAAATGATTTCATTGACTTTTTTGTCATTCCTTTTTGGATATTGCCTGTGGAGAGACCTGGAAAAGGGAATGGGGATAGAAAACAGGAGGGATCAAGTGGAGGGAGAGAGTACTAGGAAAAACAATTGGAATCTGGGGCATCTCTGGGATGAACTAGAAACCTCCCAGAGATCTATGAGGGTGACTCTAGCTAAGACTCCAAGCAACAGGAGATATAGAGCCTGAGCAGACTGACCATCTCCTATAAGCAGGCGAGATTTCCAGTGGAGTGACTGGAATATCATCCTAGCCACAAACCCTTCAATGTACAATTTGTCCTGCCTATAAGATGAGCTGGGTAAAGGTGGTATAGAAATTGTGGGAGTGACCATCTAGTGACTTGTCCAGCTGGAAACTCATACCCTGAGCGGGAGCTCTCCCCTGAGGGCTAGGACCCACAGGCAGAACACCCCAGAGAAGTCTTGTTTTTTCTAATGAGAGAGAGAGGTAAGGAGTGGATCAGAGAGGAGGGGAGGTAGAGAGGAACTGGGAGGGAAACTGTAATTAGGATATATTGTATGAGAAAATAATCCATTTTCCACTTAAAAATTTTAAAGAAACAAAAGCAATAGAATAAGGAAACCTTGCTTCTTATCCTAGTATAGGCTCAAGGTTAGGATTGATTTATGGGAGACTATCCAGTGTTATTCTAACAACTTCAGTATACCATGTTTTGTCAAGTTACAAGTCACTTTGATCTGTCCCATCACAGAAGATGAATGTTGACACTCAGAAAAGTATTTACCTTTATGAGAATTCCAAGCCTAGAGGCTTCTATAGTTTCCTCCTTTATGAACATCAGTCTCAAGTTCTTTGTTACCAAGGGCAATTCTTTTGGTTCATTTTAATATAAAACATTTGTTAATGAGTTTGGAAGGTGCAGAAAATCTGGGCATCTAACATCCAGATTCTGGATTCACATCACTTTTTGATAAGATATAAAAATGAGCCACTTACATACTTGAATCAGGCACTTTTCAAGATATGTACTCCAAGTCCACACCTGTGAAATCTGAATTTCATTGGCTTCAAAACTGACCATGTCAAATGCCAGTTAATAATAATGAAGGTAGAAAGAAAAAATGACAAAATTTCTACTAAACTGTTACCATCTACTCAGGAAATAAAATTTGAAGATTATAATAATAATCTGAATGGCTGATTTTGCAAGATTCTGCTATTGTATAGTTTCACTGTAGATATGAATTTTGTAGGCAGAAGTCCTTGTTTCAAAACTTCAAGTCATTGTGAAAACATTCTGCTTTCACTGAGACTTGGGTAAAGCCATAGAAACTTTAAAAAGTAAATAAAATGTATGCACAGAAATTTGATACTTAGATATAGAAGTAACCTTTCGAATTCTCAGGTGACAAGTCTGAAATTAGTAGAAAGATGCTTACACTTATAATCTCCCAAGTCAGAACACACACATATATACACAAACCACACACACACATTCATGCTCACACATAGACACAAATGGCACACACATATATGTACATGCAAACAAACACAAACACTCTACACATGTATACAAACACATCACACACATCTCAAACCACACACACACACACACACACAGACATACACCACACACACAGCCACAATACATGCACATACACAGATATACTATGCACATACCATAAACACACATAAACACTCATACATACAGATATACAGCACACACAAATACACATACATGAAGACAACACCACAGAGACAACACATACACAAAACACTACAGGCACCCCCACACTTCCCACTCATGCACATACACATAAACATACACCACACCCCCCACCACACACACATACTCATACACACACACACACACACACTCACCACAAATCCCTCCACACACACACACACACACA